AAGTGGTCTGTCTCTTACAAGTCAGTTAACGTTTATTGAGAAAAAGATGATTTGGGGATTAAAAGGTTCCAGTTCTGTTTTATGGCATTATAATTTACCGAATCTCGAATAAGCAGGTCCGAGATAGTTTAGACCTGATCCTTCACCTAGGTGAAGAAACAGTCTAAGAGCTTCATTCGTATCTCTCGTCAACCGGTCACAGTGTTAAAAATATGAGGCTGGACAAGTGGCCCTGTGTCTGAATGCTCATTTCCCCTCCAAGTCCTGTGTCTTTTTGAACCATCTTTGTTTCTTGCTGCAAAGAAAACCAACCACTGTGGGACTCAATGTATGAGGCTTTGAGAGAAGGACGTGCAGCCAAGAGCTTGGGAGAAACAAGGAGCAGGAAAGCCCACGACAAAGGAATGCTGTGGGGCACTGAACAGTGACATCTCCCCAAATCACCCAGTTCTCTAGGACCATGAATAGAACCCTGACTAGGAGCAGTGGCTAAGGCACTGGGCTGCTAACCAAAAGGTCAGCAGTTCAAACCCACCAGCCCCTCCACAGAGAGAAAGATGAGGCTATCTGCTTCCGTGAAAATGGACAGCCTTAGAAACCCTCTGGGGCATTTCCACTCTGTCCGCTAGGGCCGCCGCGGGTCGGAATCTACTGGACGGCAGTGCTTGGTGGGAAACATTAAGTGCGCAGCTGCGACTCCCCCACCCCTCCCAAAGCCGCATTACCTCTAACGCCAGGGCGGTCTTGTCGTAGGCACAGGGCACTCTTTTCTGGATTGCTTTTGCAAAGACAGGTCCATTCTGGGTGGATGGTAGGGGGTTGATGGCTGCCCCGGGAGGACTGGCAGCGGCAGGGAGAGGAGCTGTGGTCTGAGGCTGGGCGTAGGCGTGGGCAGGTTCTGGGATCCCATAGCTGTTGGAATTCCTGTTCCCCGGCTTCCCATGCGGGGAGGACCTCACCAGCTTCTCCACGTAGGGGACGGGGATCATGCCGACGCGGCCGTCCTTGTTGCGGGCACTCCACCACTGCTCCTCGGGCTTGTCCACGATCACCAGCACCTCGCCCTTCCTGAAGGGCAGGTCTTCGGCATCGTTGCCAGGGAAGTCGTAGAGAGTCCGCACGTATTCCACATTCTCCTCGGCTGCAGGGAGGGTGGGGGCTGCTACAGACGCCATCAGGGGGCTTGGGTACCTTCAGGAGAAACAGAGACCGATCTCACTGGATGTCTACAGTTGTCACGCTTTCTAGTAAGCCATTTTCTACCACAGGCTAAGCTGCTATACCTTCTGTCTCCGTACTGAAAAAAACCCCAACAATCCCAGATACGCCTTTGCCAATGACACGTTGGGTGCCCGCGCACCCTGTCGCACCTCTATGTTACGGGAACCTGTGTTACAGCTAGGGGTGCCTGGTCTGAATTTATATTTTTACAACACCAAGTTCAGTCCAGTAGCTGCCTGCCACAGAAAGCTACCCCAAGATATCGCCCACCCTCACTCCCAACCCTAATCTGCGCTCATACACCGCATACTTCCTCAGGGAGCAGACAGACGGAAGATGAGCCCCAACGGGGCCTCCTGCTGGCCCTGCATGAAGATGGTGCTGAGTGGCCCATGACAAAGGCCTTTGTCCCCGTGTCCCTCAAGATAGGAAAACAAGAAAGGGGCATACACTTGCCAAATCTAAAACAAAAAACCATGAACACCCACACCGCACGTACAGACAGGGATCCTCATCTGCCCACCACAATGAAAACCTGGGAAGGTTCTCAGACGACGTGAGCCCCGGAGGGAGCTGCCACACCACAGCCCCAGGCTGCGACGGCTGCCTCTGCGGCGCCCTCCCCAAGGCCTCTTCCCACCTCAGCAATGCTGTGCAAAGCTGCACCCACCCCGTCTCGGTATTCGCCTGCGTGCCTATCAACCTGACGCCAACCCTCGGCAGCCCCACGGCTGTTTGGTGGGGTCATCAGGGCTTTCTTTGGAGACGCCTCTGAGTGAGCTCGAGCTCCCAACCTTTGGCAGCTGAGGACGTTAACTGTGCCGCTGGGAATCACCGGCATTCCCCCTCATGGGCATACACCCAGAAGACTTGAAAGCAAGGTCTCAGACAGACGTTTGTTCACTGCAGCATTCTTTACAACAATCCAGAGGTGACAACCCCCAAGTGTCCACCAGCAGATACATGCGAAGAGCATTCCTCAGACATGAAGAGCAATGAAGTTCCGATACATGCTACATCACACATGAGTTTTGAAAACAGCCTACCGCAGTGCCACAAAGGGACAAATACAATGTGATCCCATTCATGTGAAGTCTCTAGAAGAGACAAGTGCACAGAGGCCGAAGCTTATGAGCAGCTCCCAGGGACTGGAGGAGGGGAAACAGAGCTCCTGCTTAAGGGGTCACTGAGGGTCTGGAGGGGAGGGAGGGGGATGAAAACATTTGGGAACAGACGGTGATGATGGTTGCACAAGACAGTGAAGGTAATTAAGTCACCCAACTGCATGTGTGACAGTGGTTGAATCGGCAAATGTTTTATGTATTCATAATAATAATAACAACAAAAGGACATGAGTGTTTGCTCTTGGTACAAACTGCCACACTCCTTTCCAAAAGGCAGTCTTCGTAAGAGGGCAAGAGGTACATTTTTTAAAGTGTAAGTTACAAGTTCTATAGTAGGGAGACTTCCATGGCACTTAGGAACTTGATTAAAAACTTCAAATGCCTTTTTACTTAAAACTAGCAATATTTTATCACTAAGGACAAATTACTTAATGTTAGCAGAAAACCAAGACCAAACCCACTGCCCCCGAGTCCATTCTGACCCACAGCGCCCCTAGAGGACAGAGTGGAACTGCCC